ATACAGGTGACACCTGCTCAGTGACACCTGGGCTAGCCCAGCCCCCGAACCCACATACAGCTGTTGCTTTGGAGACAGAGATGGAGAGAACAAACAACCTCAGAAATGGGTACAGTCTAGCACACCTGTTTCAACTAATCAACTAATCACCTTGCTATATGTTGGTGTTGTTTACACTATACTATGGTTCATTGTGGGAAAGAGACCTGTGTTTTTCTGATCTCAGTTTTATTCCTTGTGTGTACACGTGTGTCCATGCGTGCGCATGCATGTGAGTACATGTGTGATTTAGTACACCCACATGTCCAGCAGCATATAGTACAGTACACTCTTAGAAAAAAAGGTGCTATCTAGAACCTAAAAGGGTTCTTCGGCTATCCGCATAGGAGAACCCTTTGAAGAACCCTTTTTGATTCCAGGTAGAACCCTTTCCACAGAGGGTTCTACATGGAACCCAAAATAGTTCTACTTGGAACCAAAAAGGGTTCTACCTGAACCAAAAAGGGTTATCCTATGGGGACAGACTAATAACCTTTCTGGAACCCTTTTTTCTAAGAGTGTATCCTTAAGGATCTCACCTCCAATACTATTATTACTGGAAGTCAACCCCCATAACTCTAAAGCTTGTTTAAACAACAAAACCTTCAACAATGAGAGAGAGAGAGAGAGAGAGAGAGAGAGAGAGAGAGAGAGAGGAGAGAGAGAGAGAGAGAGAGAGAGAGAGAGAGAGAGGAGAGAGAAAGGAAGGTGTTTTGTATGGATCTGCCTGGACTCGTCTGAACCAGGGATTCCAAAACAAACACTGAACGGAAACATGGAAAACACTGGGGGATGGGTTGGGATGAGATGAACACACGCACATGCGCGCACACACACACACAGGCTGTGGCAGATGAAGGGAGGCTGTGATTGGAGTTGAAGGGTCTGCTGACATCCCTGACTCTCAGTTAGCGAGGGAGGAGAGGAGAAGGAGGAGGAGAGGAAGAGAGAGAAGGAGGAGGGGAGGAAGAGAGGGGAGGAGGAGGGGAGGAAGAGAGGGGAGGAGGAGAGGGGAGGAGGAGGGGAGGAAGAGAGGGGAAGAGGAGGGGGGCAGAAGGGAAGGAAAGAGGGAAGGTGGCTTTGGATGGTGCAGTTAGTACCCCTGAACCTAAAGCTACAGTATATGAGAAATGTAGGGAGGGACAGAGATTGAAAGGAGGGATAGAGAGAAGAGGGGAGTTCTTACCTGTTTAGAAGAGATCTCCATACTCAGGATGGGAGTGGGAGCCTTGAGGAGAAAACACACATTATCTCCACTATACACATATACACACTGACTCATACTTCCTACTTAATACATATTGTAGTTATCTAATTAGTTCTGCTTGAGAAAAATCAAGCTAATTTTCCAGCTGCGGAGATGGCCTCAGGTTAGGGAGTTCAACCAATGAGTCTGTGAATCAACGAGAGAGAATAAACTCACTCTATGTCTGTAATACTAGAGAAACACACCAACTCTCCTGTCTATACCCCCAGAACTCCTGCTGTGTGTTTAGAATCGAAAGACATTAATATTTTCCTGTTGTTTAAAGAGTTGACAACCCTTCAATCAAGAGCTCCTGTCATTGCTAAATGAAAATGTTTGGTAGATAAGGTAATATTAATTGACAAATCACCTTGACCTTGAATTCCAGGATAGAAGGAAACTCAGGATATTTGTTTTTTAGTAGTATGAGTAGCTACATGCAAATACCCTTTTCTGCCTGCAGTAGAGGTAATATGACTTAGGAAAAGTCAGTTATCTGAATCAGAGTGCTATAAGTCTGACAGATCTGGTGTAGACGTATGAAACTTTCCCAAAACCTATGTCAATTAAGACATTACTCAGAGGTGTGTGTGTGTGTGTGTGTGTGTGTGTGTGTGTGTGTGTGTGTGTGTGTGTGTGTGTGTGTGTGTGTGTGTGACTGTTACCTGGAACACCAGGAGCTCCTCCAGAATCACCTCCTCAGTAGACCAGTTCTCCTGAGTAATGCTCACCACCTTCAGGACTGACCCAGCATCTGGACAACACACACACACACGCTTATATTTTCACATGCTTATGAAATACACACACACATAGACCTTCCCTTTCGCTAGCTTTCTAGTGAGAGAGTTCTACTGAAATGGCTCCAAACAGACTATGATGTTGTAGCTCTCTCTGCTGGTCAGTCTGAGCATGACAGCAAAGTCAGGGGATTTCATTTTTTTTGTAAGATTTAATATAATTTAAACAATACAAAACATAAACATACAAAGGACAGCATACAGATGCACAAAAACATCAACAACATCACAACTGCACAGTTGATTTTCAGTTTTTAAGTATATGTTTTTTCAAGATGATTGAAGCGAAAAGTATCGTCCTTACCCATCGGGACTGACGGATTAAAAGTAAATTTACATTGTAACAATACTTCTGACAGCCAACATTCTAACTCCGGCCATAACTTTTGGACTTTATAGCATTCCCAGAAGGCATGGATTATTGAGTCATTGTTAGTTTTACACTTAAGACATGACTCTGCCCTTGTGCTGTATAATTTGTGAATTTTGTCTGTTGTATAATACATTATATACATTAGTTTATACTGGATTAAGCGTACATTTTCGTTAACTGTAATTTCGTTAGTTACAGTGCCTTAAGAAAGTATTCACACCCCTTGACTTTTCCCATATTTTGTTGTTTTACAAGGTGGGATTCAAATGGATTTAATTGTCATTTTTTTGTCAACGATCTACACAAAATACTTCATACTGTCAAAGTGGAAGAAAACTTTGAACATTTGTGAACAAATACATATGAAAATAAAACATGAATATATCTTGATTACATAAGTATTCACACCCCTGAGTCAATACATGTTAGAATCACCGTTGGCAGTGAGTCTTTCTGGGTAAATCTCTAAGAGCTTTGCACACCTGGATTGTACAATATTTGCACATTATATATATTTTTATTCTTCAAGCTCTATCAAATTGGTTGTTGATTACATTTTACAATTTAGTCATTTAGCAGACGCTCTTATCCAGAGCGACTTACAGTTAGTGAGTGCATAAATTTTTTCACACTGGCCCCCCGTGGAAAACAAACCCACAACCCTGGCGTTGCAAGCGCCATGCTCTACCAACTGAGCTACAGAGGAGGCCCATCCGCTTGCTAGACAGACATTTTCAAGTCTTGCCATAGATTTTCAAGCCGATTTAAGACAAAACTGTAACTAAGCCACTCAGGAACATTCAATGTCGTCTTGGTAAGCAAGTCCAGTGTATATTTGGCCTTGTGTTTTAGGTCATAGTCCTGCTAAAAGGTGAATATGTCTCCCAGTGTCTGTTGGAAAGCAGACTGAACCAGGTTTTCCTCTAGGACTTTGCCTGTGCTTAGCTCTATTTCGTTTATTTTATCCTAAAATACTCCCAAGTTCTTGCCGATGACAAGCATACCTATAACATGATGCAGCCACCACCATGCTTGAAAATATGAAGAGTGGTACTCAGTGATGTGTTGTGTTGGATTTGCATCAAACATAACGCTTTGTATTCAGGACATAAAGTTAATTTCTTTGCCACATTCTTTGCAGTTTTTACTTGAGTGCCTTGTTGTAAACAGGATGCATCTTTTGGAATAGTTGTATTCTGTACATGCTTCCTTCTTTTCACTCTGTCATTTAGGTTAGCATTGTGGAGTAACTACAATGTTGTTGATCCATTCTCAGTTTTCTCCTATCACGCCCATTAAACTCTGTAACTGTTTTAAATTCACAATTGAAATCCTTGAGCGGTTTCCTGCCTCTCCGGCAACTGAGTTAGGAAGGACGCCTGTATCTTTGTAGTGACTGGGTTTATTTATACACCATCCAAAGTGTAATTAATTACTTCACCATGTTCAAAGGGATAGTCAATGTCTGCTTTTTAAATTTGTACACATCTACCAATAGGTACACTTCTTTACGAGGCATTGGAAAACCTCCCTGGTCTATCTGGTTGAATCTATTTACTGCTGGACTGAAGGACAGATAATTGTATTTGTGGGGTATAGAGATGAGGTAGTCATTAAAAAAAAGATGTTAAACACTATTATTGCAGAGTGAGTCCATGCAACTTATTATGTGACATGCTAAGCAAATTTTAGCTCCTGAACTTATTTAGGCTTGTCATAACAAAGGGGTTGAATACTTATTGACTCAAAACATTTCAGATTTTAATCTGTAATTAATTTGTAAAAATGTCTAAAAACACAATTCCACTTTGACGTGATGGGTTATTGTGTGAAGGCCAGTAACAAAAAATCTCAATTTAATCAATTTTAAATTCAGGCTGTAATACAACAAAATGTGGAAAAAGTCAAGGGGTGTGAATACTTTCTGAAGGCATTGAAAATGTCAACATTCCCTCCATCTTGTGCCAATATCCGTTATTTTTAAGTCTTGGTTCCAATAGTTGATATTTTTTTCTAAGAGATTGTCAGTTGGATAGGTTTCTGCAAGTTGTTGTATATCTTACTTATCATATGAATATCCTTTTCGGACTCAAATATGATAGGGGACAGAGAATTTCATATGGAGCTCATACAGTGAGTATCAATAATACCGCAAGATGGAATTAAAAACAATATCTAACATTCAAACAGTCTTAACATTCTCAGGTTAAAGAGGAAGGCTGAGAGGAGAATGTTAGGGTTAGTGAAAAGTGTTTGTTTGTTTGTGTGTGTGTGTGTGTTTGTGTGTGTGTGTGTGTGTGTGTGTGTGTGTGTGTGTGTGTGTGTGTGTGTGTGTGTGTGTGTTTGTGTGCATCTCTCACCTGTCCCCAGGAACATGACTTCATACTGTCCGTCCTCAGCCATGACGCGGTCCACCACTATCTGTGTCAGTGTGTAGTCGACACGTACAAGCGTGAACACGGGCCGGCCGGTCAGGGGATAGATGGAGCGGAACATGAGGGGGTGGAAGCGGATGAAACTGACCACCTCGTCTGAGAAGTCTTTAGTGGTCCTTATCCTGGGATCATACGTCTTACTGGGACACTGGGGAGAGGGGATAGAAAATTATGTTTAGATTATTTTATCTGGATTAGAGAAGAAGACAGCATGAAAGCCTACCTAGAAGCAGATACTCATCTAGCTAAGTACCTAAAGGATTAATTTTAGGATTCCCTGTCATTAAAGACGCACTCCAGCTATGTTGGACCTTTTCCTTTTGAAAAAACAATATCCCAAGTATAAATACAGTAATGCACACCCACTTAAGGGTAAAAAAATACATTTCTAGCAAAATAGTGTTTTTTAGGCCATTCAAGGAGTTGGTCTGATGGTCTGATGTGATTTCATCTGTCTCCGCCCCTGGTTGAGAAGCAATACAAAAGTGGAGAGGCCATCCCCCCCACTTGTGCCATGTCATGTTATACCTGGATCACCTATTGAGATGGGCCTTTTGTTAAGTAAATCAGGTGTTAAATAAGGTGAAAAGGAGCCTGGAGTGCGTCTTTAACATTATAGTGCTGTTCACTCTTGGATTGCGTCCTACCTGACAGGTCGCTCCTACCAGGTGGCGTGGCTAGAATCTGTCTCCGCACCACGTGCTCTCACCACTGGTGTCTCCCAGGGCTCAGTTCTAGGCCCTCTCCTATTCTCTCCATACACCAAGTCACTTGGCTCTGTCATATCCTCACATGGTCTCTCCTATCATTGCTACGCAGACAACACACAATTAATTTTCTCCTTTCCCCCTTCTGATAACCAGGTGGCGAATTGCGTCTCTGCATGTCTGGCAGACATATCAGTGTGGATGTCGGATCACCACCTCAAGCTGAACCTTGGCAAGACTGAGCTGCTCTTCCTCCCGGGGAAGGACTGCCCGCTCCATGATCTCAATGATCTCGCCATCACGGTTGACAACTCCATTGTGTCCTCCTCCCAGAGTGCAAAGAACCTTGGCGTGACCCTGGACAACACCCCTAACATCAAAGCGGTGACCCGATCCTGCAGGTTCATGCTCTACAACATTCGCATAGTACAACCCTACCTTACACAGAAAGCGGCACAGGTCCTAATCCAGGCACTTGTCATCTCCCGTCTGGATTACTGCAACTCGCTGTTGACTGGGCTCCCTGCCTGTGCCATTAAACCCCTACAACTTATCCAGAACGCCGCAGCCCGTCTGGTGTTCAACCTTCCCAAGTTCTCTCATGTCACCCTGCTCCTCCGCATACTCCACTGGCTTCCAGTTGAGGCTCGCATCTACTGCAAGACCATGGTGCTTGCCTACGGAGCTGTGAGGGGAACGGCACCTCCTTACCTTCAGGCTCTGATTAGACCCTACACCCAAACGAGGGCACTACGTTCATCCACCTCTGGCCTGCTAGCTCCCCTACCTCTACGGAAGCACAGTTCCCGCTCAGCCCAGTCAAAGCTATTCGCTGCTCTGGCACCCCAATGGTGGAACAAGCTCCCCCACGACGCCAGGACAGCGGAGTCACTGACCACCTTCCGGAGACACTTGAAACACTACCTCTTTAAGGAATACCTGGAATAGTATAAAGTAATCATTCTACCCCAACCCCGCCCCCCGCCCCCACCCCATAAAAAAACAGAAGAAAAAAAGTGGTTGTCCCACTGGCTATCATGAGTTGAATGTACCAATTTATAAGTTGCTCTGGATAAGAGCGTCTGCTAAATGATGTAAATGTAAATTAAAATAGTGTTTGTCAAATTTTTCCAGGTGTTGTCAGTGGTCTATGGTCTATATAATAAGTGTGTGTCTCCCTCTGGTGGTGAGCTGAGGTACTCCACAGATACAGGTATGTACCGCTACATCTGGAGTACACAACCCGTGTACCCCGTCTTTTCCTCCTATTATACCATTATAAACCATCTCTTGACAGCGCCATGCATATCCCCTCACACACACATACACACACATGCGCGCATATACACAAATGTACCGACACATACAGTACATTCGGAAAGTATTCAGCCCCCTTGACTTTTTCCACATTTTGTTACGTTACAGCCTTATTCTAAAATGGTTAAATCCTTTTTTCCCTCATCAATCTACACACAATACCCCATAATGACAAAGCAAATGTGTCAAAAATAAAAACTGAAATATCAAATTTACATAAGTATTCAGACCCTTTACTCAGTACTTTGTTGAAGCACCTTTGGCAGCGATTACAGCCTCAAGTCTTCTTGGGTATGACGCTACAAGCTTGGCATACCTGTATTTGCGGAGTTTCTCCCATTCTTCTCTGCAGATCCTCTCAAGGTCTGTCAAGTTGAATGGGGATCGTCGCTGCACAGCTATTTTCAGGTCTCTCCAGAGATGTTCGATCGGGTTCAAGTCTGGGTTCTGGCTGGGCCACTCAAGGACATTGAGAGACTTGTCACAAAGCCACTCCTGCGTTGTCTTGGCTGTATGCTTAGGTTAGTTTGAAGGTGAACCATCGCCCCAGTCTGAGGTCCTGAGCGCTCTGGAGCAGGTTTTCATCAATGATCACTCTGTACTTTGCTCCATTCATCTTTCCCTCGATCCTGACTAGTCTCCCAGTCCCTGCGGCTGAAAAACATCCCCACAGCATGATGCTGGCACCCCCATGCTTCACCGTAGAGATGGTGCCTGGTTTCCTCCAGAAGTGACGCTTGGCATTCAGGCCAAAGCGTTCAATCTTGGTTTCATCAGACCAGATAATCTTGTTTCTCATGGTCTAAGAGTCCTTTAGGTGCCTTTTGGCAAACACCAAGCAGGCTGTCATGTGCCTTTTACTAAGGAGTGGCTTCCGTCTGGCCACTCTATCATAAAGACCTGAGTGAACTGTCTGTTTAGACTAGGGTGGAGTGCTGCAGAGATGGTTGTCCTACTGGAAGGTTTTCCCATCTCCACAGAGGAACTCTGGAGCTCTGTCAGAATGACCATCAGGTTCTTGGTCACCTCCTTGAGCAAGGCCCTTCTCCCCCGATTGCTCAGTTTGGTCAGGCGACCAGCTCTAGGAAGAGTCTTGGTGGTTCCAAACTTCTTCCATTTAAGAATGATGGAGGCCACTGTGTTCTTGGGGACCTTCAATGCTGCATAAATGTTTTGTTACCCTTCCCCAGATCTGTGCCTCGACACAATCCTGTCTCGGAGCTCTACGGACAATTCCTTCGCCCTCATGGCTGGGTTTTTGCTCTGACATGCACTGTCAACTGTGGGACCTTAGACAGGTGTGTGCCTTTCCAAATCATGTCCAATCAGTAGAATTCACCACAGGTGGGCTCCAATCAAATTGTAGAAACATCTCAAGGATGACCAATGGAAACAGGATGCACCTGAGCTCAATTTCGAGTCTCATAGCAAAGGGTCTGAATACTTATGTAAATAAGGTATTTCTGTTTTTTATTTTTTTTGATAAATGTACAAACATAAAAATAAAAATAAACTGTTTTCACGTTGTCATTATGCGGTATTGTGTGCAGACTGATGAGGATTTGTATTTATTTAATCCATTTTAGAATAAAGCTGTAACGTAACAAAATGTGGAAAAAGTCAAGAGGTCTGAATACTTTCCGAATGCACTGTACACACACACCAGTCACAGCCCCTCTTTTTAATCAGTTCCACAAACACTGCAGAAAAGGAAACATACGATGGTGATCACCGTGACGATTTAGTGACATCAACAAAGCTGCCGCCCAGACTGCAGTTTATTATTGTTCATCAGGACTGAGACTAGGTCATATATCACACACACACACACACGCACACACACACACACAAACTTTTACTTCTGTCACACTCTCACAGAGATGCATTATGCGCACAGGCACACATAATAGATGGATGTTTATTATTGTTCATCAGGACTGTGTCATATATCAGGATTGGGTCATATACTGTAAGTCATTTAAGTGGAGTAGAAGGGGTCTTTCTAAATAATCCTGTACAGAAACAGTATGAGGTCATCTTGCATGTGTCCCTGCTCACGCCCAGGAGGGAAATGGAGGGGAGTAGGGCTAGGAGAGATGAGTGTGTGTGTTACTGTACCGTTCCAGGGCGAGGGTAAGGTATTCTTCCCTCATATTCTACCCAGCGATGGTCAGGTCCTTCCTTGTGAGCGTAGGGTCCGTTGAACACAGCTCGTATGTCAGCCATGCTGTACACACATACCGCTGAGCCACGGAACACAGAGCTGGGGGATAAACACAGTCTAATAGGTATAGTGGGAGGAATAACCTGAGAGGTACAGTAGAGAGACGTCTCATTATATAACAGGTTGTTTGGATCCTGGATGCTGCTGATTGGTTAATAGGAAGCAGTTATTCACCACAATTCCCGGGTAATGCCTGTTAACAGTTCCATTTAAATTGTCAATGCGCATCCACTGTCCCACACAGCCCAGCCAAGCAATCGATAAACTTTATCTCCCTTGGAAAAAAGCATCAAGACAAATCTCCCCAATGCTACTAGCCTAGCATTCGGTTTGCAACAGTTGGGGTTCGTCAAACCTTGCTGTCTGCCTCTCCGACCTTTGGAACAATGTAGCAGTATTTTTTTGTTGCGATCTCCACCGTGCCATGCTTATGAATGTGACAAGACTAACAGCTTCTCTGAGCCAGGCAAATTAATTCATCAGGACCCCTATAATGGATATCCAAAACAATGGCAATAGAAACAAAGGTAAAACAAACGAAAATGCACATAGTTTGTTGTCATTTCAGCTGCTTGATGCGATTGTGTGTTAGCTTTAGTTGACTAGCTAAGAAAGGAGAAGTAGCTAGCCTGCATAGCTACATGCCAATGATTTGTTTAGCATAGCAACCATTGCAAATAAAATGGATAGAATGAACAACCAGCTCATTTGGCTAGCAACTTCAGAATCTCAGAACTAACGACTGTCTTTTGCCTGGACTATTTTGCATGGTGGAAGGATGAAATGAAAAAATGTACTCATTAAAATAACGTGTTACGTGTTGGCAACCGTTTTATACAAGTAATAAGCCCTCAAACCCGGGAATTATCGTGAATAACACACTCCTAAGTGCTGTTTTCCTGGCCCTTGGCTTTGACTATGGCCTAAGAACAGCCCTTAGTCTGGAGTTATTCACACGATAATCCTCGGGTTCTCATGCCTTATTGCTTAAGTATGGTATGGTGTACTATGTGTTTTACCTGGAGGTGGTGAAGACTCCATACACAACAGGGTTCTTCTCATCTCTGGTGGGGAGCAGGAATATGTCCTCTACAACACACATACACACACACATAAAAGGTAAGAATGTGGCATTTAGTGAGCATGTAAACATGGAAGCATGTAATGTGTGTGTGTGTGTGTGTGTGTGTATGTGTGTGTGTGTGTGTGTGTGTGTGTGTGTGTGTGTGTGTGTGTGTGTGTGTGTGTGTGTGTGTGTGTGTGTGTGTGTGTGTGTGCGTGCGTGCGTGCGTGATTTACGGAGCTCGTCAAAGTGTGTGTCCACTCCATCGGGTCCAGGGATGGAACACACCAGTCTGGCTTTGAGGAACGTCGTCCACTTATTGGTCAGACTCCTCAACCCTCCCACGTCATTCTGAAACACAACCATAACACAACCATAACACAACCATTACACAACCATTACATAACCATAGTCTGACACACAAATACAACTGAAATCAGGTTTGCAGGTTTAAAACCATGAAACAACCACAATCTAGTTCACAGATCTGACATATCAAGTACAACACAACTGCAAACAATTTTTACAGACCTTGAAATCTTACACTCCTGTTTGAGACTAGTTTAAATAAACCAAGGTAAAGACAGAATTCTGATTATTTGACTGGCAGAGGACTGAGGTCTGCTTATTACGGTAATGATGATGGCAGTCGGAATGAACTGACAAAGGAGGGCGAGAGGACTGAAGAGAAAAATAGCTGACAAGGAGGAGAGAATAGGGTAGAGGGATTTAGTAGGACAAGAATAGCAGTATGAAGGAAGAATTAAAGCCAGAGAAAGGGAGAGAAAGAATCTAAAGAAATAGAAAGATGAGGAAAGAAGAAATGAAGGTAAAGTAGCAAGCTCATTAATTATGCAGGTTTTCTAATTAGCATATGTATACCCCTGGCTGAATGCGCTACTCAATAAAGCAATGCCCTTCTCAGGGTCAGGGTTAGGGTAGGAGTACTCAAATATGCATATCAAGTACAGGGCCCCTTTATCCAGCACAAGGGCCCTAGACTAACCTCCCTATTGAACTTGGCCTGCAGACTAAACTAAAGCTATAGACACACAATTATTGAAAAGGAAGGGATAATGGCTTTAGCGTTTTCTAAATAGGATTATCTTCAAAGATTAATGAAGCTTTGTTATTCCACTTATCCAGAGAGGAACCCCTCTATGGTCGGCTGTAGACACAGGACAAGGAATCCTTCTCCTGCCTCATCGGCCTTACAGCTTACTCCCAAGTCATAAACACTCTAAGTGCGTGTGACTGGGAATGTTGCAATGGAGCTTGGAATTTTTATAGTGGGAAGGGTCCAGGGACAGTCTCCCTACTACCAGAAAATACCAAACCCCACATAGCTGGGAACTGAAATATAATATTTTCGTCCAACAGTGGCCTATCTTTTCTGCAACGAGCCAGTCTGGGTGCAGGCTTTGGTTCCAGCCAAGTATTCACACACCTGATTAAACTTATCAACCTGCTGTAGTCTCCAGCTAGCCCGCTAACAGGCCTGAGCAGAGTTTCTGCTGTATTGGTTGACCTACACAGCTCCTTCAGAACTGTGAACATGGAAGGAGTTAAAGCTGGGGGTTTGGGCTAGATGTAGAGCATAAAGCAGGAGTAGGGCTGGAGCAGGACCCAAATGATACAGGACCAACTAGCCTACAGTCCTACTTCATTCCTACTCCTACGCTGTCTTGGGACCAGACCATAGGCTGCCCTGTCAGTAAGACACAAAAAGAGGTTAAACCATGATTTACCCTCTCTGACAGCAGTGGTCCGTTCCTCTGTCGGCAGACTACACAAGAGGAATGTACTAGGAGGTATCGTCCCAGGGAGATTTAAGCACATCTGTGGAGAGGCCAGCTCTGTAGTAGTGGAAAGAGATCTATCAACGTACATGCGCCCTGTTAGATGTCTGTCCTCCTCCTCACCTCTTCCCTGACCTCTCCCCAAAACCATCCCTCACTCACTTTTACCCTTCTACACCTCTCCCCCATCTCACCTGGCAGACGCGTGCCACGCGGGACAGGACACTCTTATCGTTGCCGTCACGTGACGACTCGCGGAAGAAGAAGTAGATCTTGTCATCGTCAGGGTTGTAGGTGTCTGACACAGGATGGGCTGATACAAACCTGGCCTCTAGAGAGAGATAGAGAGAGAGAGAGAGAGAGAGAGAGATATGGGGGAGGTGGAGAGGTGGAGAGAGAGTTATAAGTGCAACATTTTTCATGTTTACATCCTTACCCTGTGGACATAGCAGAGCGTCTTTTATTTATTTATTTGCAGTCTCCTCTGAGTACCCTGAGTTATGAACATTAAAATACCCCCAGACAGGGCCTTGGAACAGAAGAAAGGAACGAGACAGAGTGAGAAAGAAAGCATGTGGCTGTGCGCTGTGTTACAGGAACATGACATCAACATGACATCAACCGAGGAAACTAACCGAAGCCTCCGGGGGGATTCCTTAGAATAGGATAATGTAGGCATGCGCACACACACACACACACACACACACACACACACACACACACACACACACACACACACACAACATATTACACAGAGTCACTGTTACTGTACACTAGGTAAGATGTTCCAGAACCCCTGACACACACACACACACACACACACACACACACACACACCACACACACACACACACACACACACACACACACACACACACACACACACACACACACACACACACACACACACACACACAACATATTACACACTGAGTGACAGCATCACTCCAGAGAACTCATACACACCCCGCTCCTGGCTGTGAAATGTGGAGAGTGTGTGTCAGAAGTTGGAAACTGGTGACAACTTGATGATCCATGACAGACATAGAGAAGAGAGCATCATAGAATAGTGATTGTACTGTCTGTGTAGAAAAGGGCCCAATGAACTTTGTGTGTAGACTAGGGCCCTGTGAACTGTCTGTGTAGACTAGGGCCCTGTGAACTGTCTGTGTAGAATAGAGCACTGTGAACTGTCTGTGTAGACTAGGGCCCTGTGAACTGTCTGTGTAGACTAAGGCCCTGTGAACTGTCTGTGTAGACTAGGGCCATGTGAGATGTCTGCGTAGAATAGGGCCTTGTGAACTGTCTGTGTAGACTAGGGCCCTGTGAACTGTCTGTGTAGACTAGAGCCCTGTGAACAGTGTGTGCAGACTAAGGCCCTGTGAGATGTCTGCGTAGACTAGGGTCATGTGAACTGTCTGTGTAGACAAGGGCCCTGTGAACTTTGTGTGTAGACTAGAGCCCTGTGAACTGTCTCTGTAGACTAGGGCCCTGTGAACTGTCTGTGTAGACTAGGGCTCTGTGAACTGTCTGTGTAGACTAGGGCCCTGTGAACTCTGTGTAGACTAGAGCCCTGTGAACTGTCTCTGTAGACTAGGGCCCTGTGAACTGTCTGTGTAGACTAGGGCCCTTTGAACTGTCTGTGTAGACTAGGGCCCTGTGAACTGTCTGTGTAGACTAGAGACCTGTGAACTGTGTGTGTATAGACAAGGGCCCTGTGAACTTTGTGTGTAGACTAGGGCCCTGTGAACTGTCTGTGTAGACTAGGGCCCTGTGAACTGTCTGTGTAGACTAGGTCCCAGTGAACTGTCTCTGTAGACAAGGGTCCTGTGAACTATCTGTGTATACTATGGCCCTGTGAACTCTCTGTATAGACTAGGGCCCTGTGAACTGTCTGTGTAGACTAGGGCACTCTGAACTGTCTGTGTAAACTACGGCCATGTGAACTTTCTGTGTAGACAATGTTCTTGTGAACTATCTGTGTAGACTATGGCCCTGTGAAATCTCTGTATAGACTAGGGCCGTGTGAACTGTCTGTGTAGACTAGGGCCCTGTGAACTGTCTGTGTAAACTAGGGCCATGTGAACTTTCTGTGTAGACAAGGGCCCTGTGAAATGTCTGTGTAGACTAGGGCCCTGTGAACTGTCTGTGGAGACTAGGGACCTGTGAACTGTCTGAGTAGGCTAAGGCCCTGTTAACTGTCTGTGTAGACTAGGGCCCTGTGAACTGTCTGTGTAAACTAGGGCCATGTGAACTTTCTGTGTAGAGAAGGGCCCTGTGAAATGTCTGTGTAGACTAGGGCCCTGTGAACTGTCTGTGGAGACTAGGGCCCTGTGAACTGTCTGAGTAGGATAAGGACCTGTGAACTGTCTGTGTAGACTAGGGCCCTGTGAACTGTCTGTGTAAACTAGGGCCATGTGAACTTTCTGTGTAGAGAAGGGCCCTGTGAAATGTCTGTGTAGACTAGGGCCCTGTGAACTGTCTTTGGAGACTAGGGCCCTGTGAACTGTCTGAGTAGGATAAGGACCTGTGAACTGTCTGTGTAGACTTGGGCCCTGTGAACTGTCTGAGTAGGCTAAGACCCTGTTAACTGTCTGTGTAAACTAGGGCCCTGTGAACTGTCTGTGTAAACTAGGGCCCTGTGAACTCTCTGTATAGACTAGGGCCCTGTGAACTGTCTGTGTAGACTAGGGCCCTGTGAACTGATTGTGTAGGCTAGGGCCCGGTGAACTGTCTGTGTACACAAGGGCCCTGTGAACTGTCTGTGTAGACTATGGCCCTATGAAATGTCTGTGAAGACTACAGCCCTGTGAATTCTGTGTGTGGACTAGGGCCCTGTGAGCTGTCTGTGTAGACTAGAGACCTGTGAACTGTCTGTGTAGACTAGGGCCTTGTGAACTGTCTGTGTAGACTAGGGCCATGGGAACTGTCTGTGTAAACAAGTGCATTGTGGAGAGTGTGTGTCAGAAGTTGGAAACTGGTGACAACTTGATGATCAATGACAGACATAGAGGAGAGAGCTTCATAGAATAGTGCTTGCACTGTCTGTGTAGAAAAGGGCCCTATGAACTTTGTGTGTAGATGGGTCCCTGTGAACTGTCTGTGTAGACTAGGGCCCTGTGAACTGGCTGTGTAGAATAGAGCACTGTGAACTGTCTGTGTAGACTAGAGCCCTGTGAACTGTCTGTATAGACTAGGGCCATGTGAACTGTCTGAGTAGACTAGGGCCCTTTGAACTGTCTGTGTAGAATAGGGCCAGTGAACTGTGTGTGTATAGACAAGGGCCCTGGGAACTTTGTGTGTAGACTAGGGCCCTGTGAACTGTCTGTGTAGACTAGAGCCCTGTGAATTGTCTTAGTAGACTAGGGCCCTGTGAACTGTCAGTGTAGACTAGGGCCCTGTGAACTGTCTGTATAGACTAGAGCCCTGTGAACTGTCTGTGTAGACCAGGGCCCTGTAAACTGTCTGTGTAAACTAGGTCCCAGTGAACTGTCTGTGTAGACTAGGGCCCTGTGAACTATCTATGTATACTATGGCCCTGTGAACTCTCTGTATAGACTAGGGCCCTGTGAAATGTCTGTGTAGACTAGGGCCCTGTGAACTGTCTGTGTAAACTAGGGCCATGTGAACTTTATGTGTAGACAAGGGCAATGTGAAATGTCTGTGTAGACTAGGGCCCTGTGAACTGTCTGTGGAGACTAGGGCCCATTGAAATGTCTGAGTAGGCTAAGGCCCTGTGAACTGTCTGTGGAGACTAGGGCCCTGTGAACTGTCTGAGTAGGCTAAGGCCCTGTTAACTGTCTGTGTAGACTAGGGCCATGTGAACCGTCTGTGTAGACAAGGGCCCTGTGAAATGTCTGTGTAGACTAGGGCCCTGTGAACTGTCTGTGGAGACTAGGGCCCTGTGAACTGTCTGTGGAGACTAAGGCCCTGTGAACTGTCTGTGTAGACTAGAGCCCTGTGAACTGTCTGAGTAGGCTAAGGCCCTGTTAACTGTCTGTGTAGACTAGGGCCCTGTGAACTGTCTGTGTAAACTAGGGCCCTGTGAACTCTCTGTGTAGACTATGGCCCTGTGAACTCTCTGTATAGACTAGGGCCCTGTGAACTGTCTGTGTAGACTAGGCCCTGTGAACTGTCTGAGTAGGCTAAGGCCCTGTTAACTCTCTGTGTAGACTATGGCCCTGTGAACTCTCTGTATAGACTAGGGCCCTGTGAACTGTCTGTGTAGACTAGGGCCCTGTGAACTGTCTGTGTAAACTAGGGCCGTTTGAACTTTCTGTGTAGACAAGGGCCCTGTGAAATGTCTGTGTAGACTAGGGCCATGTGAACTGTCTGTGGAGACTAGGGCCCTTTGAACTGTCTGTGTAGAATAGGGCCAGTGAACTGTGTGTGTATAGACAAGGGCCCTGGGAACTTTATGTGTAGACTAGGGCCCTGTGAACTGTCTGTGTAGACTAGAGCCCTGTGAACTGTCTGTGTAGACTAGGGCCCTGTGAACTGTCTGTGTAAACTAGGGCCATGTGAACTGTCTGTGTAGACAAGGGCCCTGTGAAATGTCTGTGTAGACAAGGGCCCTGTGAACTGACTGTGTAGGCTAGGGCCCGGTGAACTGTCTGTGTACACAAGGGCCCTGTGAACTGTCTGTGTAGACTAGGGCCCTGTTAAATCTCTGTGTAGACTAGAGCCCTGTGAACTGTGTGTGTATAGACAAGGGCCCTGGGAACTTTATGTGTGGACTAGGGCCCTGTGAACTGCCTGTGTAGAAGAGGGCCATGTGAACTGTATGTGTAAACTAGGGCCCTGTGAACTTTTTGTGTAGATTAGGGCCCTTTGAACTGTGTGTGTAGACTAGGGCCCTGTGAACGGTGTGTGCAGACTAGGGCCATGTGAACTGTCTGTGTAGACTAGGGCCCTGTGAACTGTATATGTAGACTAGGGCCCTGTTAAATCTCTGTGTAGACTAGAGCCCTGTGAACTGTGTGTGTATAGACAAGGGCCCTGGGAACTTTATGTGTGGACTAGGGCCATGTGAACTGTCTGTGTAGACTAGGGCCCTGTGAACTGTATATGTAGACTAGGTCCCTGTGAACTGTCTGTGTAGACTAGGTCCATGTGAACTGTCTGTGTAGACTAGGTCCCTGTGAACTGTCTGTGTAGACTAGGGCCCTGTGAACTGTCTGTGTAGACTAGGTCCCTGTGAACTGTCTGTGTAGACTAGGGCCCTGTGAACTGTCTGTGTAGACTAGGTCCCTGTTAACTGTCTGTGTAGACTAGGGCCCTGTGAACTGTCTGTGTAGACTAGGGCCCTGGGAACTGTCTGTGTAGACTAGGGCCCTGTGAGCTGTCTGTGTAGACTAGGGCCCTGTGAACTGTCTGTGTAGACTAGGGCCCTGTGAGCTGTCTGTGTAGACTAGGTCCCTGTGAACTGTATGTGTAGACTAGGGCCCTGTGAACTGTCTGTGTAGACTAGGGCCCTGTCAATTCCCCAGTAGGTGTGTGTGCTGTAGCTCTACAGTAAGTGTGGTGTCTTGTAAAAGTAAAACATGATTATTTATTTATTATTTATTTTTGGAAGGAATGCCAATAACGTCCCTCTATCGCTCCCTGAGAACACAAAGCAGCTCTGTGTATCAATGTAAAGAATGGGATGCGAAACACTCAATGACAAACTCGGTTATGAATGAACTCACCTACTTCAACCAATCCTTGTGTACTGAGACTGAGAGGAAGGATGTAGTCAAAAGAACCAGGCCAACAGTTACTGAGAAATAATGTCATGTCATAATGTATGGCTCTACAAGCTCATAACTCATAGCTCTACAATACGTGTGTGTGTTTCTGTGTGTCGTTTGTCTGTTCGTCATGTGTTTGTGTGTGTGTATGGGTGAGTGTGTTGGTCTCTTTGTGTGTGTGTCTGTATGTGTGTTTATGTGTGTGTGTATATGTGTGTGTGTATGTGTGTGCGTGTGTATGTGTGTGCGTGTGTGCGTGTGTGTGTTGTGTGTGTGTACCGTTGATCCAGTAGTCCTCTGAGATGTCAGTACGTATGTAGTGCTGGTCGGGGGGTGGGCCCAGGGAGCGGCTGAACGTTATGTCTTTACCCAGGAAGTCTGATGCCGTGCCAGCATACAGAAACTGGTCTGCAACCAATCAGAGACAAGGAGGGTTAGACCTGGACCAATGAGAATGAGCGTCAAGTACAACTGTAAATGTGAACCAATTAGTAACAAACCCAATTCTGATAAAAAGTGACAACAAACCTGAACAAACACAATCAGACAATCTCTCTTTAAGCTGTGCCTCATACTTTCAGTAATATGACATTCTTTGGCATGAGATTATGTTTCTGTAATCAGTTTTCTGTAAGAAGATAGGCAGAGCAAAGTCTCCATGAATCTAGCCTGGACAACAATGTTTTTGATATATTAGGAGTTGGCTTAGATGACGATGTCTTGCTGAATTCACTCTGTCTTAATTCATCAAAAAAACATGCACACAAGCACACACACACACACACACACAAACATGTACACGCACGCACACACACACATACACACAAACAAACACGCACACACACACCCTGGGGATAGCAGAGTCAGTCATGAGGGAAACAGGGGGTCATACAAATACACTCCGTGAGTCTGAGTGTTTATAGTTTCATGCCAAGTACGTTTGTTTATTACATTAAGAAATAATTAGGTATTCAAAACAGAGAGTAGGGCCCTAGAGTGTGAGCGTACATGAGTGGTGTACATGGGCTTTGATCACCAGGAGAGGAGAGAGTGAGATGTAGGTCTGAATTTGGTTGTAGGAGGATGGTGTCAGGGTGGGGGTGATCAACTGTCAGATGGAAGGGGTGTGGTCTGACCTGTGAGGACAGAGGTGAACGGTTGCCAGGGATCGTAAGGGCATTTCAACCTCCCGGACTCCACTGTACCAGACAACAACTGGAACACACCCTCCTGGAAAGAGAGACAGAGAGAGACTGTGTAAGCAGTAAGGAATGCAGTTTGTGTGTGTGTGTATGTGTGTGTGTGGTGTGTGTGTGTGTACGTGTGTGTGTCTGTGTCTGTGTGTGTGTGTATGGGTGTCTATGTGTGTGTATGTGTATGTTTGTGTGCGTCCATGCGTGTATAATTATCCCTGACCCTACCACTCTACGTCCTGAGATCTCAACGAAGGCACATATCGGATGGAAGGCTCCTGTCCCACAGGCATACACATGGGTATGGTTAAAGTTATGGAGCACACGCACAAAGTTGGCACACTCCAACTGAGAGAGAGAAGCAGAGGAGAAGAACCAATAAGACACAGACAGAAACAAACTATATTTTAATTAGTGCTCTGAATAGAGATTTTACTGTCAGGCCAGACATTTTCCAGGTTGTACTCACTTGAGCGTTCTTGCCTGCCAGTTTACACATCTCCACTGTGTCTCTGGGGGATGGCCAGCTGATCTGGGAACAGATAGACAGGGAGGTTTACATAAGAGACAACACACTTCAAATAATACCCCTGATCCTACATCCCATAGGGCGGTGCACAATTGGCCCAGCGTCGTCCGGGTTTGGCCGGTGTAGGCCGTCATTGTAAATAAGAATTTGTTCTTAACTGACTTGCCTAGTTAAATAAAGGTTAAATTAAAAATAAAATAAAAAGATGCTACCAAAACCACATCACACAACACATAAGAACAAAGCATACCACACAAAACCTTCAGAGAATAACATTTTCTTAAATCAGACAGGAATAGGGTTTAATTTTTTCCAGAGAATCTACAAATTGTTCTTCCCGAGAAAATGTAAAGAAATTACAGCATCCCGGTATTCCCGTTAAAACCGGAAGTGCTATTTAAAAGCATACAAAATCAACAAAAAAAATCTGATATGATTATACCACTGTAAATGGAGAAATATACATACAGTGAGGGAAAAAAGTATTTGATCCCCTGCTGATTTTGTACGTTTTCCCACTGACAAATAAATGATCAGTCTATAATTTTAATGGTATGTTTATTTGAACAGTGAGAGACAGAATAACAACAACAAAATTCAGAAGAACGCATGTCAAAAATGTTATAAATTGATTTGCATTTTAATGAGGGAAATAAGTATTTGACACCCTCTCAATCAGAAAGATTTCTGGCTCCCAGGTGTCTTTTATACAAGTAACGAGCTGAGATTAGGAGCACACTCTTAAAGGGAGTGCTCCTAATCTCAGTTTGTTACCTGTATAAAAGACACCTGTCCACAGAAGCACACAATCAATCCGATTCCAAACTCTCCACCATGGCCAAGACCAAAGAGCTCTCCAAGGATGTCAGGGACAAGATTGTCGACCTACACAAGGCTGGAATGGGCTACAAGACCATCGCCAAGCAGCTTGGTGAGAAGGTGACAACAGTTGGTGCGATTATTCGCAAATGGAAGAAACACAAAATAACTGTCAATCTGTCTCGGCCTGGGGCTCCATGCAAGATCTCACCTCGTGGAGTTGCAATGATCATGAGAACGGTGAGGAATCAGCCCAGAACTACACAGGAGGATCTTGTCAATGATCTCAAGGCGGCTGGGACCATAGTCACCAAGAAAACAATTGGTAACACACTACGCCGTGAAGGACTGAAATCCTGCAGCGCACGCAAGGTCCCCCTGCTCAAGAAAGCACATATACAGGCCCATCTGAAGTTTGCCAATGAACATCTGAATGATTCAGAGGAGAACTGGGTGAAAGTGTTGTGGTCAGATGAGACCAAAATGGAGCTCTTTGGCATCAACTCAACTCGCCGTGTTTGGAGGAGGAGGAATGCTGCCTATGACCCCAAGAACACCATCCCCACCGTCAAACATGGAGGTGGAAACATTATGCTTTGGGGGTGTTTTTCTGCTAAGGGGACAGGACAACTTCACCGCATCAAAGGGACGATGGACGGGGCCATGTACCGTCAAATCTTGGGTGAGAACCTCCTTCCCTCAGCCAGGGCATTGAAAATGGGTCGTGGATGGGTATTCCAGTAGGACAATGACCCCAAACACACGGCCAAGGCAACAAAGGAGTGGCTCAAGAAGAAACACATTAAGGTCCTGGAGGGCCTAGCCAGTCTCCAGACCTTAATCCCATAGAAAATCTGTGGAGGGAGCTGAAGGTTCGAGTTGCCAAATGTCAGCCTCGAAACATTAATGACTTGGAGAAGATCTGCAAGTGGGACAAAATCCCTCCTGAGATGTGTGCAAACCTGGTGGCCAACTACAAGAAACGTCTGACCTCTGTGATTGCCAACAAAGGTTTTGCCACCAAGTACTAAGTCATGTTTTGCAGAGGGGTCAAATACTTATTTCCCTAATTAAAATGCAAATCAATTGATAACATTTTTGACATGCGTTTTTCTGGATTTTTTTATGTTATTCTGTCTCTCACTGTTCAAATAAACCAAATTATAGACTGATCATGTCTTCGTTAGTGGGCAAACGTACAAAATCAGCAGGGGATCAAATACTTTCTTCCCTCACTGTATGAATCTAATGGGTTCTTGTTGTATTTGTTGCAATTTAATCAAATCAAAGTTCTCTCAAAGTCACCAAACTATTTCATTGATGTAGCCTAGTTTTAATGTAGGCCTATGAAGCATAGTTGGCCGACTGACAAATTACATTCGTTTTAGCCACCTACCTTTGACTGAAAGATGTCAGACAGCTTGTTAGCCCTTTTCTCTCTCCTTGCACTCGGTTGTGGTTGTTCTTACTTTATGTTTTACCATGGTATTGTTGAATACTCGTTTCTGATTGGCCTGAAGGGCATTCTAGAGTGTGCATTATTTAAGGAATAATGCTGTTGAAGCTTTTGTTTGGAGTGCCAATATATCCTCCAAACACTGGTTTCGAGGCCATTATCATTATGGCGCTGACGGAAACATGGATTACCACTGAAAACACTGCTACTCCTACTGCTCTCTCCTCGTCTGACCATGTGTTCTCGCATACCCCGAGAGCATCTGGTCAGCGGGGTGGTGGCACAGGAATCCTCATCTCTCCCAAGGGGACATTCTCTCTTTTTTCCCTGACCCATCTGTCTATCTCCTCATTTGAATTCGATGCTGTCACAGTCACTAGTACATTCAAGCTTAACATCTCTGTCATTTATCGCCCTCCAGGTTCCCTTGGAGAGTTCATCAATGATCTTGACGCCTTGCTAAGTTCCTTTCCTGAGGATGGCTCACACCTCACAGTTCTGGGTGACTTCAACCTCCCTACGTCTACCTTTGACTCATTTCTCTCTGCCTCCTTCTTTCCACTCCTCTCCTCTTTTGACCTCACCCTCTCACCGTCCCCCCCCTACTCACAAGGCAGGCAATACGCTTGACCTCATCTTTACTAGATGCTGTTCTTCTACTAATCTCACTGCAACTCCCCTCCATGTCTCCGACCACTACTTTGTATCCTTTTCTCTCTCGCTCTCCTCCAACACTACTCACTCTGCCCCTACTCAGATGGTAATGCGCCGTCGCAACCTTTGCTCTCTCTCTCCCGCTATTCTCTCCTCTTCCATCCTATCATCTCTTCCCTCTGCTCAATCCTTCTCCCTCCAATCTCCTGATTCTGCCTCCTCAACCCTCCTCTCCTCCCTTTCTGCATCCTTTGACTCTCTATGTCCCCTATCCTCCCGGCCGGCTCGGTCCTCCCCTCCTGCTCCGTGGCTTGACGACTTATTGCGAGCTCACAGAACAGGGCTCCGGGCAGCCGAGCGGAAATGGAGGAAAACTAGACTCCCTGCGGACCTGGCATCTTTTCACTCCCTCCACTCTACATTTTCTTCCTATTTTTCTGCTGCTAAAGCCACTTTCTACCACTCTAAATTCCAAGCATCTGCCTCTAACCCTAGGAAACTCTTTGCCACCTTCTCCTCCCTGCTGAATCCCCCCCCCCCCCGTTGACGACATCCGATCTTCGTTTGTTAAGTCAAATGACACTGCTGGTCCTGCTCACACTGCCCTACCCTATGCTTTGACTTCTTTCTCCCCTCTCTCTCCAGATGAAATCTTGCGACTTGTGACGGCCGGCCGCCCAACAACCTGCCCGCTTGACCCTATCCCCTCCTCTCTTCTCCAGACCATCTCCGGTGACCTTCTCCCTTACCTCACTTCGCTCATCAACTCATCCTTGACCGCTGGCTATGTCCCTTCCGTCTTCAAGAGAGCGAGAGTTGCACCCCTTCTCAAAAAACCTACACTCGATCCCTCCGATATCAACAACTACAGACCAGTATCCCTTCTTTCTTTTCTCTCCAAAACTCTTGAGCGTGCCGTCTTTAGCCAACTCTCTTGCTATCTCTCTCAGAAAGACCTTCTTGATCCAAACCAGTCAGGTTTCAAGACTGGTCATTCAACTGAGACTGCTCTTCTCTGTGTCACGGAGGCTCTCCGCACTGCTAAAGATAACTCTCTCTCCTCTGCTCGTCCTTCTAGACCAGTCTGCTGCCTTTGATACTGTGAACCATCAGATCCTCCTCTCCACCCTCTCTGAGTTGGGCATCTCCAGCGCGGCTCACTCTTGGATTGCGTCCTACCTGACCGGTCGCTCCTACCAAGTGGCGTGGCGAGAATCTGTCTCCGCACCACGTGCTCTCACCACTGGTGTCCCCCAGGACTCAGTTCTAGGCCCCCTCCTATTCTCGCTATACACCAAGTCACTTGGCTCTGTCAGATCCTCACATGGCCTCTCCTATCATTGCTACGCAGACGACACACAACTAATCTTCTCCATTCTGATAACCAGGTGGCGAATCGCATCTCTGCATGTCTGGCAGACATATAAGTGTGGATGACGGATCACCACCTCAAGCTGAACCTCGGCAAGACGGAGCTGCTCTTCCTCCCGGGGAAGGACTGCCCGTTCCATGATCTCGCCATTACGGTTGACAACTCCGTTGTGTCCTCGTCCCAGAGTGCAAAGAGCCTTGGCGTGACCCTGGACAACACCCTGTCGTTGTCCGCTAACATCAAGGCGGTGACCCGATCCTGTAGGTTCATGCTCTACAACATTCGGAGAGTACAACCCTGCCTTACACAGGAAGCGGCACAGGTCCTAATCCAGGCACTTGTCATCTCCCGTCTGGATTACTGCAACTCACTGTTGGCTGGGCTCCCTATCTGTGCCATTAAACCTCTACAACTCATCCAGAATGCCGCAGCCCGTCTGGTGTTCAACCTTCCCAAGTTCTCTCACATTACCCCGCTCCTCCGCACACTCCACTGGCTTCCAGTTGAAGCTCGCATCTGCTACAAGACCATGGTGCTTGCCTAAGGAGCTGTGAGGGGAATGGCACCTCCGTACCTTCAGGCTCTGATCAGTCCCTACACCCAAACGAGGGCATTGCGTTCATCCACCTCTGGCCTGCTGGCCCCCCTACCTCTGCGGAAGCACAGTTCCCGCTCAGCCCAGTCAAAACTGTTCGCTGCTCT